AACGGTGGCCCAATCTCTTCTTGAAATCCTCCAGTGAGGGAGCACCCACAACTTCTGGTGGCAAGTCGTTCCATTGGCTAATTGTTCCCACTGTGAGGAAATTCCTCCTTAGTTCTAAGTTGCTTCTCTCCTTGATTGGTTTCCACCCGTTGCTTCTTGTCCTGCCTTCAGGTGCTTTGGAGAACAACTTGACTCCCTCTTCTTTGGGGCAGCCCCTGAGTTATTGGAAGGCTGCTATCATGACTCCCTGGTCCTTCTTTTCATCAAACTTCATCATGCCCAGTTCCTGCAACCGTTCTTCATATTCCTCAACTTACGACCACAACCGAGCCCAAAATTTCCAGCGAGACAGCTATTAGATAAGTGAGTTTTGCCTCATGTTAATGCTCTAAGCCAGTGATGGCTAACCTTTTTGGCGTCGCGCGCCAAAAGTGGGGGAAGCATGGGGGGGTCGCATACGCGGATGCCCACATCCATAATTTAATGCCCCCCTATGCATGTGTGCCTGAAACACACACACCCGTGCTCTCCTCACTTTTATCACACAATGACAAAAAGGTTACTGGTAGGCCCGGTAGCAGTGGTGGGTTCCTCCCGGTTCAGTCCGGTTCGGCCGAGCCGGTAGCGGTGACGATATGATGTCACCAAACCAGTTCTCCCCCCCCGCTCTCCCACCCCCCCCACCCCCTCCATGTTATTCTTACCTTTTATTTGGCCCCACCCCCAATCTATTGCTGCCTCCTGAGTCCCAGCTGAGGAAAAAAAACTGTTTAAAACTCTTGCCGCGGGGCTTCAAAGGGCCGCCCTAACAGCTGATCAGTGTTAAAAGCAAACAAATGAGTCGGGTCGTAAGTGCGAGGACTGGTCGTAAGTGCGAGGACCTTCCAGAAATGACTCTGACCAGCTAGCCACGCCCACCTAGTCACATGACCTCTAAGCCACACCCACAAAATAAGCCACGCCCACAGAACCGGTCGTAAAAAAATTTAGAACCCACCCCTGCCCGGTAGGCCTGTTTTTTGCCCTCGCCAGGCTCCAGAGGCTCTCTTAGAGCCTGGGGAGGGCAAAAACAGCCTCCCCCACCCCACAAAGGCCCTCCAGAGGCCGGAAACGGCCCATTTCCATTTCCCGACTTCCGGTGGGCCCAGAAGGCCCAAAAATGAGCTGGCCAACGCACACATGCACACTGGAGCTGAGCTAGGGCAACGCTCACGTACCCACAGATATGGATCCGCGTGCCACCTGTGTCACGCGTGCCATAGGTTCGCCATCACAGCTCTAAGCGAATCACTACCGTTGTTAAGTGAGACACACGGTTGTTAAGCGAATCCAGCTTCCCCATTGACTTTGCTTGTCAGAAAGTCACAAAAGGGGATCACATGACACACACACACACACACACACGGGACACTGCGATGGTCATAAATATGAAAACCGTTGCCAAGTGTCTGAATTTTGATAATGTGACCATGGGGGGGGATGTAAAGTGTGAAAAAACCGGTCGTAATTTCCTTCTTTTTCAGAGCCATTGTAACTGAACGGCCACGAAACGAATGGTTTAGGACAGCAGTCGGCAACCTGTGACTCTGGAGCCGCATGTGGCTCTTTCACCCCTCTGCTGCGGCTCCCTGTCACTCAAAATATGCCTCACAACCGCCAATGTGCGACACGACCACCCCTCGGCCCGGCACGCGATTATTGAGCTTTTTAATTCCCCTGATAGGCCAACCATGGATAAATCCAAGAAAAAGAAAATTTTCGGAAGAAAACAGAACGTTTAATTCAACTACAGATGCTAGTTTTGGGGCCGCTCAAGAAATAGTCAGGCACGGGAAGGGTTTGTGGCTCCCGTGTTTTCTTTTTCTGTGGGGAAATGGGTCTTTCCTTACTTACCTACCTCCAGCTTTCTCATTCCCTCCCTCCCTCCCCTCCCTCCCTCCCCTCTTTTCTTTCTTTCTCTTTCTTTCTTTCTTTCTTTCTTTCTTTCTTTCTTTCTTCTTTCCTTTCTCTCCCTTTCTATCTATCATTCTTTCTGTTTCTCCTCCCTCCCTCCCACCCTCCCTCCCTCCCTTCCTTTCTCTCTCTCTCTCCCTTCCTCCCTTTCTTTCTCCTTCTTTCTTTCTCCCTCCCTCCTTCTTTCTTTCTTTCTCTCTCCCTCCCTCCCGCCCTCCATCTTTCTTTCTTTCCCTCCTCCCTCCCTCCCTCCCTCCCTCTCTCTCTCTCTCTCTTTCTTTCTTTCTTTCTTTCTTTTTTTCTCCCCCCCCACCTACTTCTCTACATGGAATTTTTGTTGAAAACTGGAAAAAGTGCCATTTTCCAGCGAAAATGTAAATCACAGTGAAATTACTTGCAGGATGCTGCAAGTCATAAATGAAAGTTGATTGTTTTAGTGCCCAAAATGTAGTCAGGCAACCACGGGGACTCAGTTTGTGGCCCTTGCAACTTTGGAACTGGATCGTAAGTCCCTTGTGTGTGTGATAGAGGGTGGGGTGTGTGGAATCTGTTGTAATTTCGAACCGTCACAAATTCGAGGACTGCCTGTAATGAGCTAACATGAGGACAACCAGAACATTTCCTTATGGCAACGCAAAGTAGCGCAGGATTATTATTATTTTTTTAATCAAATAGTAAAAGGATAGATTGCTAACCTACACGAAATATTTCCTCAACATTTTTGCAGCTAAGCTCCCCCAGAAGAGAAAGATTTTTCACGATATGATAAATTACCCCAAAGCACGCAGGGAGAAATCTGATCCACCTGTAATCACACACAGGGGTGGGATGGACAAATCTGCCAGATCTAATTTTGCTCAGGTTTGTTTCCCCCTAGCCTCAAATTTACATCGTTGTATAAGAAGAAGAAGAAGTGCACCTAACTTTAGAGTTCAGTCTTTTCTTTTCTTTTTTCTTTCTCTTTCTTTCTTTCTTTTTTCTTTCTTTCTTCCTCCTTCCCTCCCTCCCTTCCTCTTTCTCTCTCTCCTTCCTTTCCTTCCTTCATTCCTTCCTTCCTTCCCTCCCTTCCCTCCCACTTTTTTTCTCCTTTCTCTTTCTTTCTCTTCCTTCCTTTCTTCCTCCCTTCTTTCTCTCTCTCTTTCCTTCCTTCCTTCCCTCCTCCCACTTTTTTCTCCTTTCTCTTTCTTTCTCTTCCTTCCTTCCTCCTTCCTCCCCCCTCCCTTCCTTCTCTCTCTCTCTTTCCTTCCTTCATTCCTTCCTTCCCTCCCTCCCACTTTTTTTCTCCTTTCTCTTCTTTCTCTTCCTTCCTTTCTTCCTCCCTCCCTCCCTTCCTTCTTTCTCTCTCTCTTTCCTTCCTTCCTTCCCTCCCTCCCTCCCACTTTTTTCTCCTTTCTCTTTCTTTCTCTTCCTTCCTTTCTTCCTCCCTTCTTTCTCTCTCTCTTTCCTCCTTCCTTCCCTCCCTCCCTCCCACTTTTTCTCCTTTCTCTTTCTTTTCTTCCTTCCTTTCTTTCTTCCTCCCTCCCTCCCTTCTTTCTCTCTCTCTCTTTCCTTCCTTCATTCCTTCCTTCCCTCCCTCCCACTTTTTTTCTCCTTTCTCTTTCTTTCTCTTCCTTCCTTTCTTCCTCCCTCCCTCCCTTCCTTCTTTCTCTCTCTCTTTCCTTCCTTCCTTCCCTCCCTCCCTCCCACTTTTTTCTCCTTTCTCTTTCTTTCTCTTTCCTTCCTTTCTTCCTCCCTTCTTTCTCTCTCTCTTTCCTTCCTTCCTTCCCTCCCTCCCTCCCACTTTTTTCTCCTTTCTCTTTCTTTCTCTTCCTTCCTTTCTTTCTTCCTCCCTCCCTCCCTTCTTTCTCTCTCTCTCTTTCCTTCCTTCATTCCTTCCTTCCTCCCTCCCACTTTTTTTCTCCTTTCTCTTTCTTTCTCTTCCTTCCTTTCTTTCTTCCTCCCTCCCTCCCATCCTTCTTTCTCTCTCTCTTTCCTTCCTTCATTCCTTCCTTCCATCCCTCCCACTTTTTTCTCCTTTTTCTTTCTCTTCCTTCCTTTCTTTCTTCCTCCCTCCCTCCCTTCTTTCTCTCTCTTTCCTTCCTTCATTCCTTCCTTCCTTCCCTCCCTCCCTCCCACTTTCTCTTTCTTTCTCTTCCTTCCTTTCTTTCTTCCTCCCTCCCTCCCTTCCTTTTCTCTCTCTCTCTTTCCTTCCTTCATTCCTTCCTTCATTCGTTCCCTCCTTCCACTTTTTTTCTTTCTCACTTCCTTCTTCCTTCCTCTCTCCCTTCTTTCCTCACCCTTCCCTTCCCTTCCCTTTCCTTTCTCTCTCTGTCAAAAATGAATTCAGTTTTGTGCCCCAAATTTGAGTGTTTTCCCAAAGATAATGCTTTCTGACGTAACTTTACCCAAACGTTCATTTTATATGTTTTCCACATTAATGCATTTTTATTCAGGTTTCCCCACCCCCACCCACCCCCCATTCAGGTTTTGCATTACAAAATCGAGAAAAGACCGTAACCAGCGACAGCTAGTCCTCGGCTTACGACCAGAATCGAGCCTAAAATTTCCATTGCTAAGCAAGACAGTTCTTAAGTGAGCTTTGCCCCATTTTATGACCTTCCTTGTTACCGTTGTTAAGTGAACCGCTGCAGTTGTTAAGTTAGTCACAAGGTTGTGAAGCTTCCCCATTGACTTGGCTTGTCAGAAGGTCGCAGAAGGGAATCACATGACCCCAACCCCCCCCCCCCCGGACATTGCAAACGTCATAAATACGAGTCAGTTGCCAATGGTCCGGATTTTGGCCACGCGAACATAGGGATGCTGCGACGGTCGTAAGTGTGAAAAAAATGGTCCTAAGTCCCCTTTTTTTCACAGATGTTGTGACTTTGAACAGTCACTAAACGAAGGGTTGTAAGCCGAGGACTGACTGTAATTGGGTTTGTCTTCCGCTATAAAGCGATTCCTGCACATCTGACTAGATCTTGGCTATTTTTTTTTTGGTTTTTTTTTAAATGTGGCTGTTATTCGAAAGAGGAGATGGAGGGAAAAAAACACAAAAGCAAACTTACAACCATTTGATTCCGTTGCACGTCCCGTTTTGCAAGACAAAAGCCAGGAAAAAGGTGATTAAAAATTGTCTCTTCGTCATCGTTGTTCTTGGAGCCTGGAGTCCCGCCAATTTCTCACAGGGGAGAAAATAAATGCTCTTGTCTCTACGCCGGCCAGGAGATTCCTGTTCTTATCCTGAGGTGTGGATTCCTCCAGCATCCACCTAAAATGGAAGAGGAGAAACAGAGAAGAGGGTCAGGCAGGCAGCTCACGATCAACTCTTTCCCCTCAAAAAGGTCTGGTTTGAAAGAGGGCAGCCCCCCCCCCTCTCATGCTTTCGGCTGAAATTGCATATAATGAAAACTCATTTGTACTTCTTCCTGCTCCTTCCTTCCTTCCTTCCTTCCTTCCTTCTTTCTTCTTTCTTCTTTCTTCTTTCTTCTCTTCTTTCTTTCTTTCTTTCTTTCTTTCTTCCTTCTTTTATTTCTCTCTTTCTTCTTTCCATCTTCTCCTACACTTTCTTTCTCTTTCTTTTGTTTTTTCCTTCCTTCCATCTTCTTTTTCTAACTTCCCTCTCTCTCCTTCCTTCTCCTTCCCTCTCTTTTTTCTCTGTTTTCCTTCCTTCCTTCCTTCCTTCCATTCATTCTTTCTTTCCTTCTTTCTCTTTCCCCTTCCTTTCCTCCTTCCTTTCTGTTCATTCTTTCCTTCTTTTTCTTTCTCTCTCCTTCCTTCCTTCCTTTATTGTTCCTGATTGCTTATTTGTACCCTATGATTATCATTAAGTGTTGTAGCTTATGATTCTTGATTAACGTATCTTTTCTTTTATTTACACCAAGAACATATGCACCAAAGACAAATTCCTTGCGTGTCCAATTACACTTGGCCAATAAAAAATTCTATTCTATTCTATTCTATTCTATTCTATTCTATTCTATTCTATATTCTTTAATCTTCCTTTTCTAACTTTCTTTCCTTTCTTTCTCTCTCTCTCTTTTTCTCTTTCTTTCTCCTTCCTTCTTTGTCCCTCCCTCTCTTTTTTCTCTGTTTTCCTTCCTTCCTTCCATTCATTCATTCTTTCCTTCTTTCTCTTTCTCCTTCCTTCCTTCTTTTCTGTTCATTCTTTCTTTCTTTCTCTTTCTCTCTCTCCTTCCTTCCTTCCTTTAATCTTCCTTTTCTAACTTCTTTTTTTCCTTCCTTTCTCTCTCTCTCTCTCTCTTTCTCCTTCCTTGTTTCTCCCTCCCTCTCTTTCTTTCTCTGTTTTCCTCCCTCCCTTCCATTCTCTTTCTTGCTTCACATATTTGCTCGAGAAAAGGGAAGGAGAGAGCCTGTATGTCAAAACTCCAAGCCTTCCTGGAGGCTTTTGAACTCTTTGCCTTCAAATTTTCAAATCTATGAAAAGCTAAAGGCTGGGGAAAAATTTGGGCATGAAAACGTCTGCAAGAAAACAACCCAGCTCTGAGAGCACCAAACATCCCACAGTCATTATCCTTCCCCCCCCTTCTCCTCCTCTTACTCTCCTCCATTCCACAACCCTCTTCCCTTCTAGCATTGATGACATTACCTAGTTGGGTCATGAGATGTCTGCAACAAAACCACCACGCTCGGAGAGCATCAAAAAACCCCACAGTTCAACCCCTGAGCTACAAATATTCCCCTTCTATTGGTACAAATTACAGTTTGGCCAAAGAATCCAACCTTTAAAAATGCCATTCCAGGAAAAGAGCAATATGATAATGGAGAGGATCTGCTTTTGCAATCTCCCTCCCACTCCCCACTGCCTTGTCCCCTTTCTCCAGAAAGCCAATCTAAGCAAGCAGAGATAAGTCCTGCCTAAGTAGCAAAGCTTTCATCGGTTTTTTTTTTTTTATCCTGCCTCCTGTCTGTTCCAGCAGCTGATGTATCTCAAGGACTTTTATCTCGGCCTTAAATAAGCCCACTTCAAAACTTCATGCCTTAATCCTGCAATGTTCGTGGCTTGGAACGAGATGGACTGTTTCAGAAGCC